ATTCAAGGGATGCTAGATTCCAAGAACCTTCTTCTTTCGAAGTTTGATTAAGAAAATATTTAATAAAAATAAACCGCTTGACATTCGATCAAGGGTTAGATCGTATTAGCATACAAAGAAATTGGAAAGAGGTTGAGTTAAAATGGCTCGAAGACAAGTCGAGAATTAGTTTGAAAAATGGTTTAGTCTATGTTAGTGAGACATGGAACTGAAACGCAACATGACATCAATGTACGTATGTGAGCAAAGCAAGTGGCATATCATACATTTCAAATAAATCAAGTAAAGCGAAATTTTATTCAAATTAAATTCATTAATCATTTTTATAAAAAAAAACATTAAATGAAACCTTTTTTTTTCAAAAAAAATAAAATAATAATAATAATAATAATAATAATAATAATAATAATAATAATTAACAATTCCATGTTTGTACTTCAATGCATTTGATAAAATAATTTAAAATAAAAATAAAATAAAAGATATGAACAAAAACACAAAGAAATTAAAAGAAAAATAAAACAAAAAAGGCCAGTTCAGATTTAGAATAGGGGGTGCAAGCTAAAACCCTAAGGCCCAAGAAGAAATGAGCCCACACATCTGAGGGGGTCCACGGTGGACCCTAATCAATGGTTGACTTGCAGCGAGAAAAACGGTGCGTTTGATTTGTGGAGAGTCCACAACTGACTCAAATCAAACGGCCATCAAGAGGGCGCGCAGTAAGCTAAGAAGATGCATGCACATGGGAACATGCAAGGGGAAATCTGACCGGTGAGAAGTGTCCCAACGGACACACGTGTCACTGGTACGAAGGGACACAATAATAACATGGACCAAGAGACATAAAACGAGGGCGGAGAGAGACAACATTCACTTTTCAAAATTCCTTCTCTCTCTAACGTTCTTATTCTCTGCAAACCATCCTTGTTGGAACCCTAACGATGGCCAGAGAAGATGGTGGCGCGCGGCGGCGACCACCTTCCTCTTTGGCGAAGCGCCTCCCAAACCTCACACTCGTCTAAAACCAAACCCATGAGTTCGAATCTAAACTTAAAAACATCACAAACTCAAACTAGACACCTTAAACATAAACCCTAAGCGAAACCCTAGATCTATTCAAACACGAGGAACATAAGCAATAAAAAGAGGGATATGCCTCAGAGGAACAAGGCGAACAAGAAAATTACATCAGTAAGAGCAAACAAAGAGAAGGCTCCAACCAAACTAGAGAAAATCTGAATTTCGAAAATCCTGGTGAAGGTTTGTTCTTGAACTCTACTCTTGTTTCCTCTTATCTTCTTCGACTCTTTCTCTGCGTGTTTAACCCTTGTATACTCTGATTGTTATTTGGTGAGCATGAACATGAAATGGCTGGCTTAGCTTCTCCCATTCTTGAGGTTCATGATATATTAAGTGAATAATGAAACTCTAGGGAATTAGGTTAGAGATTCCTTTTAGTGTAGGTTTTTTTTTGTTTTTTGTTTTTCTCTGCTTCCCCTGCTATATGTGAATTCGTGGCCAATATATAGGACAAAAAAGGAATGTGTGAGGTGCGAATGAGCCCCTCTTGCTGTGAAATCCCTACGTGAGATTTTGACCGCCCTAATGATGAGGTGGAATTGGTACCAACGAATCTAGAATTTTTCACCCATATAACCATCATTTCACCCCCATAATCCCAAAATACCCAACATTTTCTCATATTTCCCAATCTAACCAACTTTGGTTATTTATTTATTTATTTTTAAATACAAGGGGGCGCCATAGGCCTTGGCTCCTCCCTTATAAATTATAGGGGGGCACCATCCAGGATGGAGGCACCCTATAATTTATAAAGGGGGCGCCATCCCCTTTGGCTCCTCCCTTAAATTCGAATTTTCAAAATAATTTTTATTATATAATAATTTAGAAAATATTTAATAAATAATAATTAACAATTAAAAAATATTTAATAAATAAAAAATTTATAAATAAAAAATTTATAAATAAAAAATTTCAAATAATAAATAAAAATTAAATTTTATTTAATAAACTTAATATTAAAAAATAATTACAATTTTTTTTAATTACAAATGGGTACATATGAGTGATTTGGTACACTAATTTCTACGACTTGGTCGGTTTAAATGTCCGCCCGTACCGCATCCTCGATTACGTACGTTTCTTGGTCGTCTTTATGGTAGAGTTGGGTCGACCGTGTCGTCTTCAAGAAATTGCATCATTTCGGCCCATGAAGTCGATTCCATCCCCGTAAAGTCATCCAAATCAAAAGGGTTGCCCATGCCTTCATAATTATTTTGGGGTGGTTGGCTGGATGAGGCAATGTCAGGATGATAGCCTGACTGGTCGTAGGGTGACATGGGTGTAAATGTTTGCGCGGGTAAGGGTTGATTTGGTGTTTGAAACTGGGTGTTTATTTGGTTTGTAGTATCCATGGAGTATGTTTGGTATTGTGGTGGATATTGTTGGTATTCGGACTGTGAATAAGTTTGTGTGACTGGGGTGAATTGGTTAGGGGTATGTTCATATAGTTGTGGTTGTGTGAGTGGGGGTTGGGTTGGAGGTTGGAAATGGGGTTGGGTTGGTGGTAGGAAATGGGGTTGGGTTGGCGGTTGGAAATGGGGCTGGGTTGGTTGTTGGGGTCTTGATGATGAGGCTTGTTGGCGTGGGCCAACAAGATATCTTGGATGCGAAATGAAACCAATGGATACCTCCCTATACCAATTCATGCATTGGATAGTCTGTTTTCTCCCGTGTGGAAACACAGTGTCGGACAAAATAAAATGGCGGCGATGCTTCCATTCACGACACTCATGTTTTGCATACTTGGTCCATGGAGAATATTCCCATTGATCGGAGACTTTACCGGTGTGATATTTGTCAGGGATGCATTTCGGCGGACATGGAATATCTTGAAGCATTCCAAACTGAAGCTTGACACGATCACTGTTGTGCATCTCCACGGTTGTGAAGTTGATAATTGGCACCTTTGCACTCCACACTACAGAGTCGTGTTGGTTAACTTCGTGAATGGCTTCTAGACCAAGATATGGCCGCCAAATAAACTGTAGGAGAAAAAATAATATTTAGTATTTTCTAATAATATTTAGTATTTTCTAATAATATTTAGTATTTTCTAATAATACGTAGTACTTACATCATCTTGTCCCAAATGATCTATAAGATTTATGTATTGGGTGATACTAAAATGGGGACAATTGTCGTAATTCATCCCAAGTGAAGACCACCTACAAATCGAAAAGAAAACATTTGTTAATAATAGCATAAATTAAGTAAAAGACTATGAAAGATTGATCATTCTTGGTCTAAGTAATTACCTTGTAGCGTATGGGAATTCAAAATTATTTTGTTGGATAGGTGCTAGATTGGTCATCCTTGACCATCCCCAAGCTTGAAGAAGAACACCACAATCGGTCCAATTTCCCGAATTTGCTATTGCGTTATTACATAAAGACCGATATAGGTGCGCTAGTGTAGCGGACCCCCAACTATATGTTCTTATTTTATCTATATCATCTAGTAAAACTAAATACATAGAGTGGATAGCATTGCCACTTGTATCGGGAAATAAAAATAAACCTAGTAATAACATAATATAAATTCTAGTTTTTCTTATTTTCAATATTTCTGGAGAATCTTGGGTTAACCTCATTTCTCCAAAAATTCTTTTGAGCCATGATAATAATATTTTTTGGCCCCTCAAATCTCTTGGGGTGGGTTCAACCCCTAAGAGTTCTTCTATAACAGTACCGCTAGGATTAGTGAGACCGTTTACCGCCTTACCATTAATGGGTAAACCCAATAACATGTGAGTGTCCTCGAGAGTAACTGCACATTCACCTATCGGAAGATGAAATGTATGCGTCTCGGATCGCCACCTTTCTTGCAGTGCCAAAATGAACTTGGTATCTAGGAGGTAATTTGTTATTTTGATGACCTCTCTGAATCCTGCGCGCTCCAAAAATGGTCTAATGATCGGGTCATATGGGAAATGTTTATGCCCACGAGTTCGGAAGTCATGAGTATTCTACCAAATAATAAAACAAATCCTTACAACAATGTATTTGCAAAACAAAACAATAAAACAATGCTTTAAAATATTATAATGTATTATCGGGTACGAATACTTACATAAGACGCGATGTTGCTTGGTGTTCCTCTATGCGTTTCGCCCAATGTTAACAGAGACATTTCTCCTATAAGTTTAATATATGAAGAAGAAATAGGTAGAATTTAAATTGTAGAATATATTTGATGAGTTTTTGTGAATGAGGAGGAGAAGTATTTATAGTAAAAATATTGAATTTGAAATTTGAATTTTGAATTTATGGTGTTAGAGGTAAAAATTTAATTTGTGTAGTTGAAATATTAATTGTTGTAAAGAGGAGTAAATGTATATGGATGAAGTGTGTAGAAATTATATTACACTTGGCATTCTGCATGCATGCAAAACACTATTTTCGTACACTTGTCATGGGGGAGCCAACCCCTATGGCGCCCCCTTTGAAAATTAAGGAAGGGGAGCCAACCCCCATGGCGCCCCCTTTGAAAATTAAGGAAGGGGAGCCAATCCCCATGGCGCCCCCTTTGATGAATTTTAATAAATTATGTTCATACACTTGTGTTATTTATTGATACATTCATGAAAAATTAAATACATCTCACCATTTGCAAACACATCTCTTACACTCTTACACTTTTCTTCAAATATGTCTAGAACAACAAATTATATTGTTCATGCCCATTCTAATGGAGAAACTTATATCTATGAGGATTCGGGTTTTGGTTTCAAAATACAGATGTTACCCGATTATCAATGAGCAGGAAATCTAATTTCTTGCATTTCAAAGAGCGAATAGAGTCGAAAATATTGTCTGGTCCAATCTCTCAAATTTTTTTACAGAAGTCCCGTATTCTTTGACAACAATCATGTCAAGTATTTTCAAGAGAAAATACAAGACGACAGCGATGTCGATCAAATGTTTGATAGTCATGAACACTCTGGGTTCGACTATATCGAGGTTTATCTATTACTCTTCCAGGCTCAACATCAAGTTGGTGAAACAACGGAAGTAGATAAAGTTGATGTCGTGGACGAGGAGGAAGAAGAAACTAAGGCCATAGTTGATCAAATGGTTAATTTGTTCGGTACTGGGGACTACACTGCACTAACTCCGCTTCAAGACATAGATGAGGAGACACTACCATTGAGGCATATGTATTGTCCTCCCCAACACATGAAGAACTTGCAATTGAGTGGAGATGATACTTCCTCAGATGTTTTCTACAATCCTTCTCAACAAATTGAAGGTGTTTTGAAAGTGGGAAACCAGTACCGAACAAAAGAAGAGTGCATGAAAGCTGTAAGAAAGTTTTATATGGATAACTTCGTTGATTTTTACATCAATCGGAACGACGCGAAATGCTATGTTGTAGTTTGTCGTAACGCAGATTGCAAGTTTTGGTTAGCAGCATCCTATCGGAAAAGAAGTGATTGTTGGGTTATAGGTTCGATGGATCCACCGCATAGTTGCACAACCAACATCAATCAGCAAGATCATGGAAAACTAAGCTCTCAATTGATATCCCAAGAGATCTTGCATCTTGTTGGCGCAGATCCATTTGTGAAGGTGAGCACAATTATCTCTCATATTGTTGCACGGTTCAACTATACCCCATCGTACAGGAAAGCTTGGATTGGAAGAATAAAAGCTGTTGAGCATGTATATGGAAATTGGGAAAGATCTTACAATCAACTTCCACAATATTTACTAGCACTTCAAAATTATGTTCCCGGTACAATTGTAATTTTGGAGTCACTACCAGCATACACTCCTGAAGGAACATGTGTTAATGGTAGTAGGATATTCTCTCGTCTCTTTTGGGCATTTCAACCATGTATAAAAGGTTTTGCGTTCTGCAAACCGGTTATTCAAGTCGATGGAACATGGTTGTATGGAAAATACAAAGGAACATTGTTGATGGCGGTTGCACAAGACAAAAATAATAATATATTTCCGATTGCCTTTGCCCTGGTCGAGGGTGAAACAGGTGAAGCTTGGAGTTTCTTCCTCAGAAATCTCAGAACACATGTTGCTCCTCAACCCAACTTATGTCTGATTTCCGACAGACATGCCTCTATTGTGAGCGCCTACAACAATCCTGCTAATGGTTGGCGCAATCCTCCTTCTGTCCATATCTACTGCATAAGACAAATTGCTCAGAATTTTATGCGGGAAATGAAAGACAGAAATCTCCGCAAAAAAGTTGTGAACGCTGGGTATGCCTTAAACCAACCATCATTCATGTATTACCGCGGAGAAATAAGATTGTCAAGCGCGGAAGCATTAAGGTGGGTGGATAACATTCCAGTCGAGAAATGGACAAGGGCTTTTGATGGAGGAGCCCGATGGGGTCACATGACCACAAATCTAGTAGAATCCCTAAACGGCGTATTTAAGGGAACTAGAAACTTACCCATCACTGCGTTGGTAAGAGCAACCTACTACAGATTGGGGTCACTATTTGCGGCAAGAGGCAAAAAATGGAGCGCTGTTTTGGAATCAGGGCAAATATTCAGCGAATCCAGTATGAAATATATGAAGGATGAAACTTCTAAGGCGGTCTCACATAGAGTTAGACCATTTGATCGTCACAATTACAACTTCATTGTTGATGAGACAATGGATCACAACGAGGGTCGACCAATGGGACACTACAGGGTGGAACTTCATAAAAACTGGTGCGACTGCGGAAAGTTTCAAACCTTCCGCCTGCCTTGTTCATATGTCATTGCCGCATGTTCCAATGCTCGTCACGATCCATTCTTGCAACTGTCAGAAGTTTACAAGGTCGTGAACTTATTTGGTATCTACAGTAACAGTTTTCCAGTGGTAGCTAGTGAGGAATATTGGCCAACCTATCATGGAGACACAATCTACCACAACGAAACTATGAGACGAAACAAAAAGGGACGCCCCAAGAGCACGCGAATTACAACTGAAATGGATACAACTGAGAAAATAGAAAGACTATGCAGAATATGTCGTCTTCCCGGGCATACGAGGACTAATTGTCCAAATGTTGGATCCAGTTCTAGATAGATTTAATTTCGTCATTAAAAAAATGTGTAATCTTGGAATTTAATATTTATAACAACTTCTGATTACACATAAACAAAATGAAATACTGCTAGAGCAACATAAAAAATTAACTATTGTTACAACATAAACTAAGCTATTACAACAATCAAAGTAATATCATCAGTTCCAAACATCATTGACCTAACTGCGTTGTCATCTCTAATTCGCACCCACTCCCGTCGTATATTTCCGTCTTCAACAGAGAAGTACGAGACAAGTCTTTCAATACTCCTAATGCTTTCACCATTTGGAATGTCTCCTTCTAACCACCGATTCAAATTTCTTCGTAGTTGCTCTAAAGTCTGGATGTTCCAAAACAACATCCTTATCGGAGGTTTCGTTCTTGAAAAAATTACATGCCCATATCTTCTAAGATACATGACTCACTCTCCTAAATTTGGATGAAACCATGTGTTGTTTGAATGAAACAAGTCTAAGTATTTATACACAAAAAATTTGTACAAAATAGTATTATATTATAATTATATTATGTATATAAGAATTAAAAAATATAACGAATCAAAGGGAGCTCCAAAGGGGATGACGCCCCCCTTTAACTCTTTAAGGGAGGAGCCAAAGGGGATGGCGCCCCCTTTATAAATTATAGGGTGCCTCCATCCTGGATGGCGCCCCCCTATAATTTATAAGGGAGGAGCCAAGGCCTATGGCACCCCTTTGTATTTTTAAAAAAAATAATAACCAAAGTTGGTTAGATTGGGAAATATGAGGAAATGTTGGGTATTTTGGGATTGTGGGGGTGAAATGATGGTTATATGGGTGAAAAATTCACGAATCTGTTAGAAGATATTTTTCCATGATATTTGATTGTGTTGGATTTACAATACGTGAAAATCCCTCTATTTTGTTTTTTCTGTCCTTCTAGAATGCTTGGTGGTCCTGCTTGTATTTTTAATAATTTTTTTACTGATTTTTCTTAATTGTTGTATGAATGTGGTTTTACCGTCGCTAGAACTGAACTTCCATTGCACCTCAAAGATCATTTTTACCACTATTGAACTTGTCATCTGTTATTTGCCCATGTTGCCTTAATCATTACAACCACGCGTCTTATATCGATGTCTTAAAAGTGAAGCTATTCTGAATATTTCTGCATTGTCTCAATTCTGCTTTAACTGTAACCATTGGCTTGCTTCAATGCTTCATAATTCTTTACCGCAGTACTCTGTTTCGAATTTATGTTATTGTGCAATTTGATTGAATTCATGTGTTGCTTTTGTCCTTGTAGGTGAAAATTAATGAGAACACTTGAGATTGTCTTGAAGCTTTGATGATGAGTCATGGAAATCTGGAACAACAAAGAAAATTAGTAACATGAAGGTATGAATTGGATGCTTTAAGGCTTTGAAGCTTTGAATAAGAACACGAATTTGATGTGTTTTTTGTGATGCTTGAAGATGAAGTACAAACTGACGACATGGAAGTATAAATTAGGAGACTTGGCGTATGGTTTGGGTTTTAGGACTAACTTGACATTGTATTTGTTGAATCTTTTGTAATTTGAACCCTGTAGTTTATGTAAATTCAAAGCAGCTTTGTAATTTTGTGACATGAGCATACCTTTGAATCTAAATACAACCTCATTCACTTTCAAATTTCAATCTTCAATTCATTATCAAATATCTATCCATTCTAAATGAATTGGATCTTGAATTACCATAGCTTTTTACCCTCCATTTTCTTCACACTTGTACCATGTTTGGAAAAGAAAAATAATCTAAGATAATTCCCTGACTCTTAAAGATCCTATGAGAACCGAATGAACTTTTCCATCTAGATCCTAAAAGACCAAATTTTCATTACAAAGTTTCTGGAGTAAGAAAACACCTTGAAATCAGAGGATCCAGTCTTGAACTATGAATTTTAACACACTGCACCACAAAACTTTTAAAGTCGAACTAGCCTCTGATGATTTTCAATCATGGAGCACCTGCTTTGGTGTAACTTGAGAACTTGAATTATCTATAACTAACTTGACTTGGCACAAACCCTGGTTAATGCTTTAAACACACATCCCTTGAATTGTGCCTACCCTAGCCTTGATGATGAAACCTTGCTTTGTCTGGCTAAAGTTAGGTCAAAACCATTTAACTTTATTCAATTACCACATGCACACGCATGACCTGATATCTTTAACTGAAACTCAGTCCGATTCAATTCAATCCTGTGATACTCTAAGAAGCAACCACACCTTTTTTGATTTCCTTTTAAAGGTTAGCAGGTGAATGCGTAGATGAAAGTTATGGAACTAGGACAAATTTGGGGTATGACACTTTGAAGCTTCAATTATTGGCATCATTATCTTTGACTTTAGTATTAATTAAGAAATTTAAATATTATAGCTTAATGAGGCTTGATATATCATCAAGTTGATCACCATCATCAAAGAATTGAAAGAGCAAACCACCAGAGAACCTTGAAAAAAAAGTATTCACTTGAACATCGTTGGATACCAAATGTCAAATTTAAATAAGTGACTTGATCTTCATGCATTAAATAAGTGGATACCAAGTCTTCACTTGTGTGGTTTACTTACATGCATTATGGCTGATAAGCAAGACCGATTGAGGCACGACGCGATTGCACAACATGCATCGGTTCAGAGGAAAGAGATCTAACTGTCGCATACTTCAGTTACCTCTAACCTGATTGATACGGAGGTGTCAGCTTCTAGGGCTCATGTATCTCCGCCTTCTTCTTCCCATAGGAGACAAGTGTCACTTACTCATGCATCACTGCCTCCATATTCCTATAGGCGACATGTTTCACTTATTTAGGCACCTGAGGTAGTAGAGGCACCCGAGTCACCATAGGTACCTCAGGCACTAGAGGTACATGAGTCCCCCTAGGCACAAGAAATAGAAGAGGAACTCCAAGAACCCTAGGTACAAGAGGCACCTGAGTGGTTTGAAGGAGGCCCGTCAGACTTGTTACTACCGCCTCTTTACACGGACCATACTTTCATACATGTCTGGGATAGAAAGGTAAAATTTAGGTTGGATTCATTTTTGTAAATGATGTTTGTTATAATATTAAAAGTTTCGAACGTTAATTTATTTTTCTGTAGGACCGTGATGCTCTAAAATTCATCAACCATGGGCGGAAGGTTACAGGTCTGCAACAACCTAATGAGTAGTGGTCTCAAGATGTTTGCTGGTATTTGGGATGAGAGACTTGTGAAAGACCAGTTATGTTATGGTTAACCATGGTATGTTGTCCGCGTTTGCAGAGAGATGACACATAGAGACGTCGTCATTTCATCTTTCACACTGTGAGATGTGTATCACACTGGACGATGTCTTGTGTCTGTTGCATCATCCGATTAGGGGAACTTTTATATCATGGAAATATTAACAAAAATGATTCACTGAGGATGATGGTAGAATATCTGGGAGTTGACCAAAAGGATACCACGAAGGAGTTTTAAGCCACCTGAGGGCCTCGTGCTAGGTTTTGATTCTTGGAAAAGGTGTATATAGATGAGCTACATAAAGCAGATAAGGCTGCTAGTGTTAACGGACAAGTTGCTCAACATAGAGCATACACTATGAGAGCATACCTGTTGTATTTGGTTGGCACTACCATTTTTGTGGATAAAAGTGTCACTTATGTGGATGTCATCTACCTGTGATACTTTGATGACTTTGATCGGATCCATGAGTACAACTAGGGTCCACTTGTTTGATCTACTTGTACTCCAAGTTATCCGAAGAATGTATGTGGAAGACCAAACAAGTGACAGGAAGCATCATACTATTGATAATACTATTTCTTGGCCTTTTAGTGTTTGTGTGTCATTTTCATAACACTTTTGTAGCGCCATTACTAATAACAGACAACATTACATCTGACGTATCCTCATCTGCTTGGGCCTTCATGAGACAGTTTAGCTACATGCAATATATTCCCAGACACCATTACGTGTCTGCTCCTCTCGGTATGACCTGTATAGATACGAATGCTATGTTTGATGATTATATTAATCATCTGATATCAGAGGAGGCACAGGGTACCATAACTTCTATCGACTGGAGCTACGAAGATGGTTACATTAGGTGGTTCTTCAGGATGTCAATCCTTATATGATACATAATGCTTTAGGACATTCATTGAGGCTAACTCATCATGAGCTACTAGAGTATGAGTAGACTGAGATAAATCATACTATTGACGTCTTTCCTATATGTTGCGTTATCATGGGAATTGAGCATGTAGGTATTGATAGATGATTCTTTTCGGATGACTCCGAGGCCAGAAACGTTGTAGATGCCATGATGGCAAAGGCACGAGAGAAAATGCAGTACACGAGACATCGTATGAATAGGGGTTCCGAATTGTCATACACTATAGTTTATAGTATTTGTACTTTGGATTTATTATCGGTTGTATTTTTTATTTATTTATTTCAATTTCATTGAGTATTATGGATTTATTAATTTATATATGTCATTTTATTCATATCAGCTGTATGATTTAATTTAAATAAAAAAGTAAAAAATGATAGTATAGCCATAACATATCATCTAATTTATAAGAGTTTCTCTAAATCAAAGACAAAAACTACTTTTTAGCGTGAATACTAAGAGATAAATCTTAGAGCATCTTTAGTGAGAGTATCTTAAGTGGGTAAACTAAGATATTTTTTGTGGACCCAAAGTGATTTGTAGGATTTAAAAAATTTATAGTTGATTTGAGTTATTTTTACTTTAATGATAGTTGCTTATAAAAAATTAAAACTTGATTCTATATTTTATATTTTTTAATTGTAATTATTTTTTTATTCAAAAAATTACAAGATTTTAATAATATAAATAATAATATTATATGTTTCAAAATAAATAGCTTACGTTAGCTATATAATTGTCGGAAACTAAAAGTTAGTGAATTAAATGTCATGTCATAACCATTCCAATGCAAATTCTTTATAATCATCATTAACTATAAAAAAATTTAACTATTAAAAACCTGTATTAAAAATGTTCTTAAAATTTTGTCTGATGTGAATATGGAATACATCTCCAAAATAAATGTATTAGATGTGACTTAGTTTTAACATTTTAACATAAAAGAGATACATCTCCATCTCCGAAGTTTAAGGGGAAAATTAAAAATTTTATTGGGTGTTTTTCTACCACTAGGGTGGGTGAGAATAATAATTCTCTCTAATTAATGTTGAGGATGGGCCAATTTTAACCCATTGAATGTCAAGCAGCACAAAACGATGACGTTTTCTGTAACAAAGAACTTGATCCAAGTTCATCACTTCCCCGATAACGCTTCGACGATGCCGAAAGCCCAGAACTGCGAAGTAAGATATGCTATCCTTTTCTGAATGTTCTCTGTAAACTTGCTATGCTTTGTTTCAATCTGATACCAGTCTTTGTTCCTAGGTTTATTCCCGTCATTTTTCTCTAAAACAAAATCGAATCATGTGCATTTTTCTTATGCTGAAAATTTGAAAACATGACCTAGAAAATGAAAATTACTCATTGTTGTTGATGATAGTAATACTGTAAACAATGATTGTTTGATTGAATAATTTGATGATTTAGCTTGTAGGGTGGATTTTATAGCTGCTACCAATAATACTTAATGTTCTTTGGAAGAGTTATTTTCTGCTTGTTATTGTACATTCTAGTGTTAACTGGTAGAATTATTTATATATAAATTATTGGCAGGGTGAATATAATCTGATAGATTTGAACAAACTGCTATTGTTCTGCAACACACGATGTAGTATTATGAAGTGTTGTCAAATTGTAGCTATTGTGCCGCTGTGACATAGCGGAATTTAATGTAGATTTCAACTTGTAAAGAACAACCCTTGTTTGTATTATTTGGCAAATTGGATATATGAACTAGATGGTATTACACATACAAGTGACTCATTTTAAACTCTACAGTTGCACGCCGTTGCGTTGTCAGGATTTACTGAAAACATTTTTCTTGTCAACCTAAGATCTAGCCATTTCTGTTAAAATAGCAACGGTATTGACATAATATCCGGAACTGCGACAACAAAAATGGCTACATCTTAGTCTTAAAAGGAAAATGCAGAGCTCTTACTCGTTGGAACGGGGGAGAGGATGTCATTATGCAGTGCTTTCAGCCAGAGAATTAGGTAAGCTATGCAATGTATGATTAAAGAAGTATTCGGAAGAAAGAAAATGAATAAATAGATTGTTACAGCTTGTATTAGTGAAAAACATAACTGCTATAGAAATTTGAGTTCGACATATTTACTTATCATTACTGATTTGTTGAACCATTGCTGTTTTCCACATTGAACATTTATCATGAATCTTAAGCCCTGTTTGCTTTCTTGAAAAAGTTTTCAATTTTTATTTTCTTAAATATATATTCGTTTTAAATGGAAAACTCATGTAGTGAGCAATTATAATAGAAAGAAAATGGAAGGAAGCTAGGAGGAATGCATTTCTAGAAATAATGAAAACAATGTTTTGCCATTTTCATAATTTTTTAACAGACTAGATCTATTTCAAAAATTGTGATTGAAAATGATAAGGAAAGTATTGAATCTATATTCTCTTATGGCTATTATTTGTAATGAAAATGAAAGCAGGAAATACGAGAAGTAAATGGACCGTTAGTGTTTCTCAATTATGAAAAGGATATTAAATTCGGTTTTGTAATTCTCACCGTTTTTAACATTGTACAAAGCATTCAATGGATGTTGAAGCAACATTTCCTTGAATTTGCATCTGATATGCCATTATAGACCGTGACTTTGATATCCATAATAGAAATGAATTCATGTTGGGTATGCTAATTTTCCATTTTGATTTTCAAAAACAACGAAGTTTGATGATAATGAATTTTTCAGTTCTATTTTTTTGGTAAAAAGAATGCCTTGCTTTTGGTAAATCGGCAAGTTACTTATCCTGTTTCATTCAGGTGACTAGGTAAGTCTAGCATCTTTATTGTATTAATACGAACTAGCTTATTTTGTTTTGTAAACGTTACTGTTATTATTTTTTCTGTTTTCCAGTGCAAACTATAATTGTTCTTCAGCAAAACATGCACCCTAAAATCACAAGAGAAAAACTATAAAGACAAATTCCTATTAAATACTGTTTTACACAACGAGACACATTTGTTACGAAACTATAATGCTTAACAACTGTATTTTTGTTGGTTGTGATAAGACTTGTCTGTAGGGTCCAAAGACTGAATATACGATAGTTCGTTAGATTTGAATTCCTCCAAAAGATAGCATTACAAAAGAATTTCACTAGTGCAAATACATCTTTTCTTTCCCTGAATGAAACTAGAAGAAAACATTTTCTGTTGGAGGAACTGGGATCATCATCTATAATTTCTTTTTAGATGATGTTGATTCATTGAATTGCTTTCCAAAACTTATGTTGCAGCTTGACTGTACAAAATACATGGCTCTCTTTCACAAAACTCTTTAAACTTAAGATTGAAACAAGAGAAAAAAACCAACCAACTGTTGCGAAGAACTATTGAGAATGCAGATACAGCTCACTATGTTTCTATCCTGCTCTGCATTTCCAAGCATGCCACACTCTTATAATGTTACCAGCCAGCTTAGTTTTGCTTTCTCTCCTGATCAAGGGAACAAGATATGTTAAGCCCTGTTGTGAATAGGATCTGACCCTTTTCGCACTCTTCTTTTGCTTGATTGATTTGGATCAAGCCTGTTGTTGACATTTGCTGAACTCTTCTTCGTAGGAACAGACACATTGTTGACATTTGCAGAACTCTTCTTAGTGTTCAACAATTCCTTCTCTGGAGCTTTCAGAGTATGTTGATTCTGCAGCATTATCCTGTGCTCTTTTTGACTCTGTTTTAATGCAATTTCTGAACTTCTCAGGCCTGAGACTTTGTTCGGTTGAATAGATATTAAGAACCCAACAAAGAAAAGAAGAATCATTCTAGAAAGATGGAACACCATATTTGCTTAACTCTAAAACAAGAAATAGAAGGTATGTTCTTTCTGTTTAGAGTGACACAAGACAAGAGAGTAAACACCTCTCTGCTAGTACTATCTGTTTTCTTATGGTCCATTCCTGTAGATATAAGCTTGTTATATATGTCCCACTAGATTTGGAGAGAGGCTTTAAAGCTTAAAGCAGATGGGACCTACAAGAATTTTAGATTCATCTCGAATCAGAAGCCTGAAATTTTAACTAATTAAGGCTGTTATTTAAGAATCTGACAAGAATGAATAAAGGGGTTGGGATAATATCCTTGAGAGGCCAAGTATCTTTTCTTTCATTTCTTTCCCTACACATCTATCATATCATACGTATGCTTTTTTCAATAAAAGAAGCCAAACATAGTCTCTTGGACCCTAGGCTAACTTGCCACATCACACTTCTATACTTGTGTATATGGATAAATTTATTTACATTCTTGATTACAAAGGGAAATATAACATGTTTTTTTAAATCAAGTATAGGTTGATTTTTTATAAAAAAAAAAAAAAGATTATAATGCCTACTGAGATTTCATTTTGGTAACTATATATCATATGGTATACTTGTCAAATACTTTACATGTTTTTTCCGTTAGAGACCGGGTATCCTCTGTGTGCAACTGCAGAGATTAATCCCTCGAGCAGGGCCCTCGAGAGAATTTAACACTGCTGCATGTCCAGGGCTTGTTGGGTTTGAACCGAAAACCTTTGGTTAAGTCGGAAGAGATCCCTTAACATCTCGTCCAAGTGCTGTTGGGTTAACTTTTACATTCTATTAGCCTAAATATTTTTCATTTTGAAATTTCTGAATTGATTCCATGATAAAATTCAGGTCTTGAATGAGGCTAGTATGGTAAAGTACCATTTCTTTGTGATTAAGTAAGGGCTTATTAGGCATTAATTACTTTTAATTGATGAGGAAGCAGACAAAAAAATGGGCCAGCCAGAAGATTGAGATTAAAACAGTGCAAGAAGCTCATATAAAGAATATAAATGTGGGAATAGAACAGTCCCCAAAAGAAACAAACTATTGCTTTATGCACTTTTCTAACTTCTAAGATCTCCCCTTCTTGGCTTTAGAATTCCAAGCTCTCTTCCCAAGTTAACAAAAATGAAACAGTACTACTTGTTTTATTGGGCTTAATGTGTATCTTTATGCTTTGTTCTACTTTTAGATGGGTTGCCAAGCCATATTTGCCCCTTCCAAAATTTCATGCCCTCTCTCTTCCTTATTTTACTTTCTTTTTTAACTCAAAATATCACATGCAGCTTGGAACTGTCCAAAGCATAAATTCCTCACTTTATCACAACTAGGTGACATCGTTTCTTAAGATGAAGGGTGACTAGTCATAGTTCTAGTGAAACAAACAACCACTGCATAAACGATTTATGTTCTCTCTTTTCTTTTTTGATTTTTGGTTTTGGTTTTGGTTTGTTACTTTTTTATCACCCAATTAAAGTGAGAGTTGGTGTGACTTGTTGCTTTCTATTTTTTTCCTTCATTTTTCATCCTAATGTTTGAAACTTCCTTTTGAGTGTCACCTTGTTGCAAACCACATCCCCTTAAAAGAATATGCTTTTATTCTCCCTCTTAATAGTTGTTAACTTGCATTGGTATCATAACATATTGTGACATTCTAATGTTGGAAAACATTGATATACTAGATTGTGTGTTTGCACATATGACAATGTAACGGAAGGTGTTCGTACTAGTAGTGTTCTCACAACAGCCACCAAAGCCTTATCCTTTGAAATGGGGTTGGTACATGGATCAACTTTTGTCAGAATATTCTATCTAAGATCAATTTTATCCATGACCATGTTTATATCCAAATTGTAAATCTTAAGATGTTTCTTAATAACAGTGTTCTCTCGCTAGATGAAAATTTGCCCCTTTTGCGAATATGAAAACATTAATTATGTTATCAAAATTTTGAATCAAGTATTTCAATAAATGCCATAATAAGTAAAAAATACTTCGATTTAGGATCTAAATTCAATGCAATTAGTCCCACAAGTTCAAAGAGAGCTGGTTGCAGAATATGCAGAGGTCTTTTACACCCCACACAAACCCTAAAATAAAAGAAAAACAGACCTCTTTTATTTAAATAAAAGATATTTTGAATGTTGTGTTTTTTTTTTTCCTTGTAGTCTTTTCTTACATGGTTTCTGGGGGATCCTAATGACTTCACTTTTTATTTTCTTCTTTTGACTGGAAACTGATTCATTAGAAGGTTTTTGGGAATAATCAAATTCTCATCACTGTGTTCTAAAAAAGTCTTATTGATCCAAGGGATGCCTATTAATTTACATATGATATATAGATATCAAATCATGTCACTGTTCAGATTCTTTTGCCAAATTAGGAAATATTAAATCACAGAGTGGGACCTTATGATTAATAACATGGGGTACACACAGTAAGTACAACAATGAGAGGTTAACTTGTTTTATAAGTTTGTTTTCCGTTAAAGAATAAAACCAAACCCTATCCATTCTAAAAACACGGTGGACCCCACTTCCTCTGTTAATAATTTTTTGTCCTTACAGTAAGTAACATATTAACAAAGGTAAAAATTTTGCACACCATTCTTTCATAGATTCTCAAGACTGGTCTTAAAGTTGAATGATCTTTGGGAATTTGTTTTGAACCAAAGTGTGACCCATATTGCTAAGCATGAAGGTCTTGGTAAAATGAGCACTGACTGAACTAGGCCACCCCCACAACTTTGAAAGAGAAAAAAAGAAGAATTGCAAAGCAAATTAAAGAAGACAAAAGCAAAAACAAAAGAATTGTAATTGTTACGTTTGTATCCTCTATTTTGAATAGTAGTTGTTTTGCTTAGTTATTTGCTTTATTTTATAGTTTTGTTCTTTGATGTGGATGAGAAGTTCTATGATATTAAATGGATAAATTTTGTTGAAAATAATGTCATTTACAATTAAGAAAATGATGTCCATTATCATTTGATTGATTTTTTTTGACCTTTTTTCCTCTGCATGATCATGACTATTCTTTTAAAATTCATTTTCAATTGAAATTAAAGTAAGACCATTAAATCAATGTTGCCGCATAGTGAATAAAAAAGATTAATTGAATAATCAATATATATGGTCTAAAACTTCTATTTATAAATGCAACGATTACAAGGATGGCATGAAAAACAACTTACTCATCTTATGTTGCAAACCAAACAAAATTTGAAAAAAAGAAAAAGAAATACAACTAAATCAAACACAATGGTGCAAACCAAAAACCCTTGAAAAAGAAAGATGGCTAACATTATTTGTATCATATAGACTTAACCTATAAGTTATGTAAACATTAGAAAAAAAAATCATGTTGCAGAATTAAGGGAGTGTTCAGTGTTTTTATAGAAATAAAGACATAAATTAGTTTTAGAAAAAAAGTTAGATCATTATTATATATAAGTGTGAGAGAAAAGTTGTAAGGAAGAAAACTTAAGTGTACTACGGAACTCTTCATCATAGGTCCAATGCAAAATGGTTCGATTTTTTACATGATGCTAGACCTATAACTTTGTGAACCTATTTTTATTCTCAAGATCTACAAAAATGACAGGAGTTGCTCTTCCCATCTTTATTAGAGAAGAATCACCTTAATGAAATCTGAAAATATCTTTACATAATTAGAAATACGCTAAAACACGTTTTGAGTGACACATATTTTCAGTTTTTCAAAATTTTGTTCGAAAGTCTTTCAAAACTTAGTTTGGAAGTCTATCTCCACACATTCAATGATTTTGTTTATATCTTAGTTTAGTGACTAAATCGAAAGTGCAGTTCTGAATTTGTTAAGCTGGAATTAAAAAAAAAAAATTCTTACATGTATTTTACAATTCAGTGTATAATTCAAAAATACATTTTCATATTAGTCAAGTGGAAAATTTAATAAAACATCACCTTGAATGTATGCTTCACTCATCATCATACCGTCATTTCTTTTTCAAACTCTATAAAAACTTTCTTTCACACTCAATCAATTTTTCTACTTCAAAACAACATTCTTCTGATTTTTTCACATCAAAAGGAGCATAAGTTAAATGTAAGGTAATGTACATGAATTTTCTTTCTCATTACTTGATAAAAACTAATTTTCTATGGGCCATATTGATTTAAAACTTGTATAAATATGAGTTCGCCTCGTGTTGTTAGCAAAATCGCACACATAATGTTTCAATATTTGTATATCGCTTATGTCTACTTAAATGGCAGAAGGTCCCCTCTTGAATTTAGGTTCACATAGATCACCTATCTTGTCAATCTAAAATTCACACTACAGAATCTGTTCCGCTACCTAGACAATCAAAGAGTTGTGAAACTCTATTATTATTCATCTTCGATTGACAACAAAGGAAAGATACAGTTCAACAAGTTTGAGCTGAAAACAAATGAAGATTTAACTGTTATGTGAATTACATTTCACCGTTACAAAACAAAAGATCTGATCGAGGTGAATGCGAAGGTTGTGAGATCGACCGAAAATATTCTAAAGATATTGAAACATTCTTAACCAACATTTGATGAAGAAATGCAATGTTAGATTTACGTTAACGATTATTTATGTAATGTTACATTTTTTGTATGTATGAAATAACAATGATTAATGTTAATTTATGTTATTCTTTTCATTTTGCATTTGTTTTTTGTTTCTCAAACACGCCAGTTTTCAAAAATATAATTACAGGGTTGTTATGAGGTTTTGGTGCGTCTAAAAATACATTTGTATATTTTAGATATATTTATTGTATTTCATTGAGGTGTGTGAGCACCACTAAGAGCAACTTTAACGCATATTTGTTAAATCAAAATTTTGTATAACTTACGTTAGTAATAAAGAATTTGTATTATAGTAGAGCTGACATGGCATATGTGATGCTCTAAAACTAGTTTACGTGCTCTACACAAGTAATGTACTCTAACTCATTATTTAACATAAATAATATATTTTTATT